TTGTGGCAGTTTTGGGGGTACCCACCACCAATGGGATCCGCAAATAGGAAGGTAGATGTTACTCTTTTGCTGGGACAGCAGCATTGACTCTCAATCCCTACTCGCAGCAGGGTCAGAGATAAAGGATTAGGCCAGTGGGCCCCAAGCAATGGGCCTTGGAAATGTCTAGAAATACCTGGTCCTGCACTGCCCAGAGAGGTGTCATTCAGGGGGCTCCCTGGGACTCAAAGAGAGCTGTTCCCTTTCCTCCTAAGATACCCAGGGAAGACAGTCTTAGGGTGACCTGGTGGGTGTTTACGCAGTGCTTCCTTTTCTTGGCCTTCATCTTCTTTGTCCTTCTTGATCTTCATTGGTGATTATAGCAGCAGCACCAGAAAGCAAGGGTATCAGGCTAGATAAGATAACAGATTTTGGGTTTTATCTCGCTAGGGGGCAAAATGCTGCTGGTTTTCCCCTTATGGGCATGACATAGTTATCTTTTAAAGCAAAGTTTAAATAAAATGAGTAACTTTAAAGACTACTAAGTCAAATACAAGGGACTTGTGTATGTGACAAGTAGTACAGGAGGCTGGAACTTCAAGTTGGTAGGAGGTGACAAATATCTGAGGATGATAAGACAAGAGTGGAGTCAACAGGCCTGAAGGAAAATCCATTTCTACTGCTGACAGAGTGTGTGTGTCCTTGGCCACTTCCCTCCTGAGACTTGATACTCTCAACTATCAAATGGAGATTGTTTCGTTCTTGTATTTGTAGGAGGGTCATGAGAATGAAACAATAGTTTTGAACTTGCTGGATACAATAGAGGTTCTATGGTTGATAACACTTTTTGGTTACTACTACTATGTAGTAGTAGTAGTATAAATCAAACCGAGGACCCACCTCTCAGGGACTCCCTAAGTGTAAGCAGCCAGGGAGCTACCATTTCCAGGGCACTAAATTTATTACAGGGTGACTGACACATGCTGAAACTAACTTCATGCCCACTTCCAACATTGAGAGGGGAGGGGACATTTTTGCCTCTGTCACTCAGTTTTCTCAACAGCTCTAGCGTTGAGTTGGTTAAGAATCTCCGGGTTTCTTAAATGATTCTTCCCCCAAACACCTTTTTTCTCTTTTTGGCAGTGGCTGGGGCTGGGCAGTGGTGATGAGGTGTATTTTTGCTGTTTGTTGCCAATATTTATTTGAAGACTCTCCAACAATCCCTAATACTTACCTATTACATAGCTTTAAACAGTAGGGACACTTTTTTTTTTTTAAGATTTATTTATTTATGCATATGGAACTGGGATACAGACCAGAAGTGCAGGGGCGGTGAGAGGCTTCACCAGAGACAGAGTGGGGAGCAGAACAGCCGGATGGACAAAGTACCCTGCTGAGGGGAGCAGGGGGAGAGACAGGAGGTCTGCCGTGCCATGTGGGTCACCTCCTTGGCCAAGGATTGAACTCATGCTGAAGCTGCTGTGGCTAGCTTTGTAGTGCTGCAATTTTAACCCATTGTGCCACCAGGGAGGGCCCAGGGGCACCTTTTTTAAGAGAAGAAAGGTTCAACTTGTTTTGAAAACGATTATGTTCTGTTCTAAACCCAACAAACTCAGCAGCAACTTTACAAAGTGTGCCTCTATGGGGGTCGGGGTGGAGGGAGTGACATCAGTAAGGGTGGCCAGGAGAGGCAAGGCCCTAAGGGCACATGTTTCTCGGGGCTCTGCCTGTTCAAGGCACCCTGTTCTCCCAGGCCTTTGTCCGTAGGTGTCTACTGTCAAGGCCAGCACCGGTTGGGTGAGAGAGTGTCCAGTCTCGGATCTGCTTTCCAACTCACAAGAGCCTTCCCTGTAATATCTTCACCTAGCCCTAGAGAGGGTGATCTGGCCCCATTTTGCAGTTGAAAAAAAAAAAAAAAAAAA